CCCCAGATTCTGTGAATATGTTACAAGGCAAAAGAATTTTGCAGAAGTGATTTAGATGTGCTTACAGTAATCTCTCCTGAAATGGACAGACTGTCCTGGCTGACCCAGGTTGGCCCAATCTAATCAAATGATATCCAGTTTGAGAGAACCACACACATGGTAACACGGGAACTGACAGTGTCATTGCTGCCTTTGAAAATAAAAGGGAAAAAAAAATACAGATGGCCTATCAAACCTAGAAAAGGCAAAGGAAACAATCTCCCCCTAACGCCTCCAGATGTGAGTACAGCTCTGCCAACACTTTTGCAAATATCTTCTCCCATTCCGTAGGCTGCCTTTTAGTTTCATTGATTATTTCCTTTGCTGTGCAGAAGCTTTTCATCTTGACAAAGTTCCAATAGTTCATTTTTGCTTTTATCTCCCCTGCCTCCAGAGACATCCAGTAAGAAGTTGTTTGGCCAAGGTCACAGAGGTTGCTGCCTCTGTTCTCCTCCAGGACTTTGAGGGATTCCTGTCTCACATTTAGGTCTTTCATCCATTTTCAATTTACTTTTGTGTTTGGTGTAAGAAAGTGGTCCAGTTTCACTCCTTTGCATGTTGCTGTCCCAACACCATTTGTTGAAGAGACTGTCTTTTTTCCATTGGATATTGTTTCCTGCTTCGTCGAATATTAGTTGACCATAGACTTGAGGGTCCATTTCTGGGTTCTCTATTCTGTTCCACTGATTTGTCTGCTGTTGTGCCAGTACCACACTGTCTTGAGGATCACAGCTTTGTAATACAGCTTTAAGTCCCGAATTGTGATGCCTACAACTTTGGGTTTTTTTTTTTCCTTTTTTTAAGATTTTAATTACCTGAGAGAGAAAAAGAGCAGAGGCAGAGGGACAAGCAGACCCCCTCCCTACTGAGCAGCAAGCCCACCACAGGGCCTGACCCCAGGACCCTGGGATCATGACTTGAGCAAAAGGCAGCCACTTAACCAACTGAGCCACCCAGGTGCCCCTGGTTTTCTTTTTCAACATCACTTTGGCTATTCAGGGTCTTTTCTGATTCCAAACAAATTCTACAACTGTTTGTTCTAGCTCTGTGAAAAATGCTGGTGTTATTTTGATAAGGACTGCATTGAATGGGTACGTAGAATGGACATTTTATCAGTTATTCCCATCCATGAGCATGGAATGTTTTTGTTTGTGTCTTCTTCAATTTCTTTTAAAAGTGTTCTATAGTTTTGTTTTGTTTTAAAGTGTTCTATAGTTTTCAGAGTAGAGATCCTTTGCCTCCTTGGTTAGATTTATTCCTAGGTATCTTTTTTTTTTTTTTAATTTTTATTTATTTATGATAGTCACACAGAGAGAGAGAGAGGCAGAGACATAGGCAGAGGGAGAAGCAGGCTCCATGCACCGGGAGCCTGATGTGGGATTCGATCCCGGGTCTTCAGGATCAGGCCCTGGGCCAAAGGCAGGCGCTAAACCGCTGCGCCACCCAGGGATCCCTATTCCTAGGTATCTTATGGTTCTTGGTACAATTGTAAATGAGATCGGTTCCTTGATTTCTCTTTCTGCTACTTCATTAATTATAAGTGTACATAAATGCAACAGATTTCTGAACACTAATTTTATATCCTACAACTTTGCTGAATTCATTCATCAGTTATAGCAATTTTTTGTGCAGTCTTTCAGGCTTCCTAGGCCAACACCTTGATCTTAGCCCAGTAACACCTGTTTTGGACTTCTGACCTACAGAATTATAATAGATTTGTGTTCTTTTAAGTCACTAACCTTGTGGTAACTTGTTATAGCAACAATAGAAAACAAATAAATTTGGCAATAAAAAGAAATAGATTATTGATACATGCTAAAACATGGGTACCTTGAAAACATTATGCTAACTGGAAAAAAACCAGTCACAAAAAGCTACAAGTATGATGAAGGTATAATTCTATTTATATGAGATGTCTCTAAAAGGCAAATCTACAAAAAAAAAAAAGGCAAATCTACAGAGACAGAAAAAGATTAGTGGTTGCAAAGTGCTGAGAGATTTGGAGAAAAGGCGAATGACTGCTAATACATATGAGGTTTCTTTCTGGAGTGACGAAAATGTTCTGAAATGGATCTTGGTGATCACTGTACAACTCTATGAATACAATAAATACCAATGAATTGTATGGTATATGAATTGTATCTAATTAAAGCTGCTTTAAAAAAAGGAACCTTAAAAAAATAAATAAATAAATAAAAATAAAAAATAAATAAAAATAAAAATAAAAAAAGTAACCTTGGTTCTTAAAGAACCTAATTTAAAAAAGTAACCTTGGGGCACCTGGGTGGTTCAATGGTTGAGCATCTGCCTTTGGCACAGGTCGTGGTCCCAGGGTCTGGGATCAAGTCCCGCGTCAGGCTCCCTCCAAGGAGCCTGCTTCTCCCTCTGCCTGTATCTCTGCCTCTCCCTGTGTCTCTCATGAATAAATAAATAAAATCTTTAAAAAAAAAAGTTATTAAAAAACAGAAACCTATATTTTCTTCTTACATTGTCACCAAAATTCTAAAGAAACGTATGATAAAACACACACACACAGACCCAAAACACTGACCCAAAAATTGGTAGACCTTTTTAACAAAAAGACAATTAAAACAATCCATTAAAAATCAGGCAAAGAACTTGAATAGATATTTCTCCAAAGAAGATATACAAATAGCCAATAAGCACATGAAAGGATACTCAGCATCACTATTCATAAGAGAAATGCAAATCAAAACTACCATGAACTACCACTCACACCTACTAGGATGTCTACAACCGAAACAAAACAAAACAGAAAAAAATAACAAGTTGCTGAGTGTGGAGAAACCAGAACCCTGACACATCACTCGTGGGAATGTAAAACAGAGTGGCAGCAGTTGCGGAAAACAGTTTGGTAGTTATTCAAAAAGTTAAACGTAGAATTCCATACGACCCAGCAATTCCACTCCTAGAAAAATGAACACAGGGACTCAAATAGAAACTTGTATGCCTATGCTCACAGCAGCATTATTCACAACAGCCAAAAAGTGAAAACAACCCAACTATCCATCAAAACATGAATGGATAGGGCAGCCCGGTGGCTCAGCAGTTTAGCGCCGCCTTCAGCCCAGGGCATGATCCTGAAGACCCAGGATCGAGTCCCACATCGGGCTCCCCCGCAGGAGCCTGCTTCTCCCTCTGCCTGTGTCTCTGCCTCTCTCTCTCTCTCTCTCTCTCTCTCTCATGAATAAATAAAATCTTTTAAAAAAATGGATAAACAAAATGCCGTATATAGACACAAATGAATGTTATTCAACCACACAAAACTATGAAGTTCTGACACACATTGTAACACAGATGAAACTTGAAAACATTATGCTCAGTGAAATAGGCCAGAAACAAAAGGGCAAATATTTTATGATTCCACTTACATGAAGTAACTAGAAGTCAAATTCATGAAGAGAAATAATACAATAAGGATACAAGGAGGCGGGTAAAGGAAAGAATAGAGAATTCCTGTTGAATGGTTATAGTTTGGGTAATGAAAACGTTTCCTACTGAAATCAGTGGTGATGGTTGCGCAACACTGTGAGTATAATTAATGCCACTTATTTGCAAACTTAAAAATGGTTTTTAGGTTGGTGGTGACTGAAGTTAATATCATAAGCATGATACACTGTAATTGTCAGATCACTATGTTGCACACCAGAAATTAATATTCTATGTCAACTACAACAAACATAAAGGAGAGGGGAAAAAAGATTTGTAGACTTTAATCCCCATACCACAAATGGATCAGAAAACAGTAGCAGCAGGAAATGTGAACTGCCCATTTTATATACCTTCTATATACCTTTATATACCATCTTCATGGATAGGACCTTTGACCAAAAACAATCCTTTCTCTTAGTAGTAAACAACATATAATAAGACTGCTTTACGAGCACCTGGCTGTTGGTAGGGTACCTGACTCTTGATCTTGAGTTCATGAGTCCAAGCCTCCTATTGGGCATAGAGCTTATTTTAAAAAAAAAGGGGGGGGGAGCTGGGCAGACTGCTTTAAGCATTTACTTTTTATAGACAAAATGCAAGGAAACAGGGGCACCTGGCTGGCTCAGTCAATGGAGCATGTGACTCTTGATCTTGCCATTGTGAGTTCAAGCCCCACACTGGGGGGGGGGGGGCAAGGACAAATGAAACATCCAGATTGATATACATCATTACTTACATATGTTGAATCCTTAAATATCCTTACTAAAAATTTTTTTTAAGATTTTTTAAATGTTTTATTTAAATTCAATTTAGTTAACATATACTGTATTATTAGTTACGGGGGTACAATTTAGTGATTCATCAGGTGCATATAACACCCAGGGCTGATTCCATCAAATGCCCTCCTTAATGCCCATCACCCAGTGACCCCATTCCCACCCCCACCCCCATCATCACCCCTCCAGCAACCCTCAGTTTCCTAGAGTTGAGTCTCTTATGGTTTGCCTCCCCCTGTTTTTATCTTATTTTCCTTTTCCTTCCCTCCCCCTATGTTCATCAGTTTTTTTCTTAAATTCCACGAGTGAAATCATATGGTATTTGTCTTTTCCTGATTTTGCTTAGCGTAATTCCCTCTAGTTCCACCCACAAAATTTTATTTTTAAGTAATCTCTATACCCAACATGAGGCTTGAACTCATAAACCCAGATCGAGTAGCATGCTTTTCCAACCAAGCCTTCTGACTCCCCTTCTCTTTTTTAAAGATTTTATTTATTCATGAGATGCCCAGAGAGAGAGGCAGAGACACAGGCAGAGGGAGAAGCAGGCTCCCTCCAGGGAGCCCAATGTGGGACTCGATCCCAGGACCCTGGGGTCACGCCCTGGACTGAAGGCAGCACTAAACCACTGAGCCACCCGGGGCTGCCCCAAGTACTGTTAACTTAAGTGACATGTCTTTTTTTAAAAAGTGCGTGCTTCTCTATATTATGCTTCCTTTTTTTTTTTTTTACCTCAATTAATTTTACATCAGGACTCATCTTTGTAATCCCTTCATCTGGACTTGGATTACTTCTCGCTGGTGGTATGAATTTTAGTTTTTTGAGGGGATTCCCCTGCAACTGACTTGGCGCTGCAGACCGTCTCATATTCTATTCAGCAGTACCGACCTAAAAAATACCCAAAACACAGATCATTTATGCATCTGATAGCATTAACTCCAAATAGGAAAACAGTTCATCACTACAACCGTATCTTTAAAAATACAGTAAGAGACTAAATATGCCAAAAAGCCTTAAAATATAAGTTTAACAGCCAGTAAGATTTTATTTTCATCACAAAGGGCTCCTGTAAGGGATCGAGGACTTAAGCAGGATGCTGTAAACGTAAGCCCTCGTATTGGAGAATGCGAGGGGGGCCGGTGTCCCCGAGGCCGCCAGGGCGCAAGCATTACCCCTCTGCGCGCAGGAGGAGCCGAGGGCCCGCCGCTGACCCCGCCCTCCGCCTTCCACCCGCCCCCCAGCAGCGGGACCCGCCGGGACCCCGTGACACCCGTGGCTCCTGACCGTGCCGCCCACGGTACCCACGCACGGGGGGGGGGGCTGACCCTGCCCGCCCCGCGGACCAACTCGGGAGGCCCCGGCAATTTGCCCAGCACCGGGGCCGGAGGGCGAGGCCCGACAGGGAGGCCCCGCTGGGAGAGACCCCCGGCCCGCGGTGACCCTCCCTGGAGCCTGCGCACCGCCACGACCCTGCTGCCACCCGGGCCACGCGGGGGTGGGGGGGGGCCACCCCACCCGACACCCCCGACCCCCTCATTCTTCAGCCCCGGCCCCAGCTCGCCCCGACCCCCCCCCACCCGATGCTCCTGGCCCCGGACCACACACTCCAACTCCGGCCCGACACTGCCTTGACCCCCACCGGCCGCGCCCTGCCTCCTGACCCCGACCCCATCCCCATCCCCGGCGCCGACGCCGCGCGCCCCACCCCCCCGCACTTTAGTTCTGATCCCGACCCCGACCCCCATCCCTCCCGATCCCCAACCCTGCCCGCCTCGCATTCCCGCTCCATGCCCCCACTCTGACTCCCACCGCCCGCACACATTAGCTCCGCCCCGACCGACCCGCCCCACACTTTAGCTCCGCCCCCGACCCGCGTTCTAGCTCCGCCCCCACTCGCCCCGCCCCCTTTAGCTCCGCCCCTGGCCATGACCGCCCGCAGACTTCAGCTCCGCCCCACACTCCCCCTTAGCTCCATCCCGACCCCACCCCCGCATTTTATATCCGCCCCAACCCGCACCCGCATTTAGCTCCGTCCCCACTCGCCCCCCGCCCTCTTCAGCTCCGTCCCCCCGCCCCCGCCCCTTTAGCTCCGCCCCCACTCGGCCCCTCACACTTTAGCTCCGCCCCCACTCGGCCCCTCACTTTAGCTCCGCCCCCACTCGGCCCCTCACTCTAGCTCCGCCCCCACTCGGCCCCGCCCCTTCCCCTTCAGCTCCGTCCCCCGTCGCTCCGCACCCCTCCCCCTCCCCCCGCCGCCCCACCGCCTTCCTTCCCTCCGCCCCCGCAGACCCCCTTCGGCGGCGCCCCTCCCCACTCCGTCCCGCATAGGCCTCCGCAGCCCCCCAAGCCGCCCCCTCCGAGGACGTACGGGCGACGATCCCACAGAAGCCGCGCGTCCGAGCAAGACAGCCGGCGCCCGAGGTCCCGTCACCTCCCGGAGGTTAAGACTCCCGCCTCCGAGGAGCCTATAGCGGGTGAGCCGTCCGCGCACGCGCACTGCCCTCCGCTGGCTCCGCCTGCACGACCGCGACTGCGCATGCGCGCGTCTCTGCGCGGCCCTGTAAGCGCCTGTGGTCCGGGTCGGAGGTGTGGTCCTGCTCCAAAATATTTACTTGGAAAAAATATTTCTTTGCTTATTGATGGCCTACTGTCACCCGCTGTAGGAGCTGAGGATACAGGCCTCATCTTAGAGCAGACCACACAGCTTAAATCTGGAACGTCGACACAGGTGTGTTCGCTGCAGGTGGATGGTCTGTGCTTGGAGAAACGGAATGCAAAGTACTTGCCCGCTGAGCTCCTAAATCGTGCAGCATGTTAGGAATGAAGTGACTTTAGCAATGTTGTTAAAATAATACAGGCCCTTAAATTGCCTGGCACAAATCGGCAAACTAACAATGGCCTGATACCCTTTAATATAGTGACAAGGCAAGGAAATAGACAGGTCCTAGGCCTTTAATGCAGAAGTATCTACAGGGGCACCTGGGTGGCTCAGTTGGTTAAGCCTCCGACTCTTGATTTCAGCTCCTGGCATTGAGACCTCTGAGTTCCCTGCTCACCCACTCATGCTTGCTCTGCCTCTCAAAGAAATAAAATCTATATTTTTTAAAAAGTATATCCAAACCGTGTCACTGTATGATCTATGAGAATACTCCAGTTTATTTTTTTTTAAATTTTTTATTTATTTATGATAGTCACACAGAGAGAGAGAGAGAGAGAGAGAGAGAGGCAGAGACACAGGCAGAGGGAGAAGCAGGCTCCATGCACCGGGAGCCCGACGTGGGATTCGATCCCGGGTCTCCAGGATCGCGCCCCGGGCCAAAGGCAGGCACCAAACCGCTGCGCCACCCAGGGATCCCAAGAATACTCCAGTTTAAACAAAACACTTAGAAATGCGTGAACAGGGGCATCTGGGTGGCTCAGTCGGTTGCACACTGGACTCTTGATGTCAGCTTAGGTCCTGATCTCAGGGTTATGAGGTCAAAGCCCACACTGGGCATGTTGGCTGTGCAGCCTACTTAACATATGTGAATACAATTTTCATCATTCAGCTTGATTTTCAAAAGCCATTAGTTCTAGGGGTGCCTGGGTGGCTCAGATGGTTAAGCATCTCATTCATGATTACAGCTCAGGCCATGGTCTCCGGGTTGAGAGATCAAACCCCATGTTGAAGGCTAAGCACCAGGCTATTTTTAAGACTCTCTCCTCTCTCTACTTCTCCCCGGTTATACTCTCTCTCAAAAAAAAAAAAAAAAAAGCCATTTACTCTAAAATAGATGTGAAAAATTACAGAAGACTGTTTACCACACTGTACTAGAGAAGGTATCATTTTTAAGATTTTTTATATTATTTTATTTTTAAGGAAATATGCACAGTATGGGACTTGAACTCAGACCTTGGGATCAAGAATCACATGCTCTACCAACTGCTAGCCATGTGGCCCTGTATCATTTTTTTTACAGACTAAATTGTTATAATTTTTTGGTTTTTTATTTTAGCAAAATTAGTGTTTTAAATAAAGATGTTGAATCGTATAACAGCAAACATTAGGGTTATTTTTGTACAATAAAGATAACGACAAACAGGGATGTCTGGGTGGCTCAGCGGTTGAGCTTCTGCCTTCAGCTCAGGGCATGGTCCTGGGGTCTCAGGATCGAGTCCCGCATTGGGCTCCCTGCATGGAGCCTGCTTCCCCCTCTGCCTGTGTCTCTGCCTCTCTCTGTGTCTCTCATGAATAAATAAATAAAATTTAAAAAAAAAAGATTAGGACAAACAGCAAAATTATAACTGACAAATATAATCCAAAAGAAGTTTAGTCCTATTCAGAGCACAACAAATAAAATACTTTTTTTCTTTGAAATAGTAAATTTCAAAAGGTTTATTTACAATTTATAGGAATTGTTTATGGGAGAAGAAATCAATCTCACTTTTTATTCTTTCTAATAAAAATTATGAAATATTTATTTTACTTATTTTATGATATTAGATAAAGGTGGGCTGGGAAAAAAGGCTATGGAAGATATCTGTCACTTTAATGACAAGAATATAACTATTTCTCAATACTAACATATCTTATTACATAAATGAATGGTTTGTAATTTTCTGCATTTCAATCACAAAGTCCATCACTTGCATCCAATGATAAAGAAGATAAATGAGTAAACTATGTAGTGTTAGGGGATCCCTGGGTGGCTCAGCAGTTTAGCACCTTCGTCAGCCCAGGGCGTGATCCTGGAGTCCCAGGATCGAGTCCCACATTGGGCTCCCCGTAGGGACCCTGCTTCTCCCTCTGCCTGTGTCTCTACCTCTCTCTGTGTCTCTCATGAATAAATAAATAAATAAATAACTATGTAGTGTTAGATAATGAAAAGTGGTAAGGAGAAGAGTAAAGCAGAGATGGAAGGTTTTGAAAATCTAGATAGAGTAGCCAGGGAAGGTCTCTTTAAACAAAAGTCCTGAAGCAATGATGTCCTCAGGGCCAGTAGGAACAGTCAGAAGATGGTAGCTGGAGCAAAGTGAGCTCAGAGAGGAGTAGGTGAGGTCAAAGAAATAACAAGGAGGGGTGAAAACTCTGGATTATCCTAAGAACTCCAGCTTTTATTCTACGGCCATGGAAGGGCTTTGAGCTGAGTTGGGAAGCAATCACCATATTTAAGACAAGAGACAATGGTGGCTTGGCATCAGAGGTGGAACAGTTAGTCTAGCTATATTTTGATGAGAGAAGTCAGATCAGAAGTAGTGTATGAAAGAAATATGGTAGGGAAGAATGACTAAGGCTTTTTGGTCTAAGAAATCAGAAGTATGGAGTTGCTGTTTATTGAAAATTTTATTTTTTTAAATTTTATTTATTCATGAGAAACAGAGAGAGAGAGAGAGAGAGAGAGAGAGAGAGGCAGAGACACAGGCAGAGGGAGAAGCAGGCTCCATGCAGGGAGTCTGATGTGGGACTCGATCCTGGGGCCCCAGGATCATGCCCTGGGCGAAGGCAGTGCTAAACCGCTGAGCCACATGGGCTGCCCTGTTTATTGAAAATTTTAAAAAGAAGATAACAAAGGATAATGACCACAATGGCGTGGGGGTGCAGGTAATATCAAGAGCTCAGTTTGAGTTTGTCAAATTTGAGGTGATTACTAGACATCTAGTGGAGATGTCAAGATGCAAATCTGGGTGTCACAGGACAGCTCTGGATTGGGAATTTAAAGGAATCAATATGTAGGGATGCCTGGGTGGTTCATCGGTTGAGCATCTGCCTTTGGCCCAGGGCATGACCCCAGGGTCCTGGGTTCAAGTTCCATATCAGGCTCCTTGCAGGGAGCCAGCTTCTCCCTCTGCCTGTGTCATTGCTTCTCTCTCTCTCTCTCTCTCTCTCTCTCTCTCTCTGTCTGTCTCTCATGAATAAATGAAATATTTTTAAAAAAAAAAAAGAATCAACATGTAGAGTTGCTATTTAAAGTCGTGACACTGAATGAAGAGAGTGCAATAAAAAAAATCTTCATTCGGGAGACAGATATCTATGGAAACAAATATTTTGATAAATTTTAGTTAATTTCTTCCCTTCTTTAATCACTGAATAAGTACTGAAATGTTACCACCATTAAATACTTTTTGTAAGGACATTATCCTGTGTCCCCAGGTTCAGTTAACATTAGACCGATCAGAGGTAAAAGTTTCCATAACTCTTGAGTATTGAGTAATGTATAGAATGTGGAATCATTATATTGTACCTCCAAAACTAATATAACACTGTATGTTAGTTAAGCTTCAATAAAAAAATTGTTTTAAGTTTCTGTAATTCTTAATTTTTAATTAATTTTGGATTAATATTAATTGGTTAATGGTAGTATTGGTTAATTGATTAGCCAACACCAACATAAGAGCTGAACATTTCTCCTAGTGGAAGAGTAGAGAGGAGAGGGGGATTTGGAAACATTCTTTTAGTGTGATTACCCTTCTTTTTTAAGTTGTGTTTATTACATTTGTCTTTATTTCATTTGCATAGCCACTACACTTCATCAATTTTGGACTGCTACTTTTTACTTTAACTCTACAATAAATATCTGTAATAACATTTCTCTTCTAATTCATACTCCCTTCCACATCACACACATTCTGACTCCTGTATTTCAGAATAGATGAGAGAACAGGAGCCCACCAGTGATTTAATTTGTTTGTATCACATAGCAAGTTAATAAATGGGAAAGCCAGGCTCTTCCCCTCACTGGCCTGTGGTGATTTCTGAAAATGGTTCGCTACCCACTTGACCCAGAAAACCCTACAAAATCGTGCAAATCAAGTTCAAATCTTCGTGTTCACTTTAAGAACACATGCGAAACTAAATCAGGCGATCAAGGGTATGCATATTGGAAAAGCCACCAAGTATGTCGAAGATGTCACTTTGCAGAAGCAGTGTGTGCCATTGTTTTTTAATTTGAATTCAATTTGCCAACATATATTATAACACCCAGTGCTGACCCCATCAAGTGTGTGCCATTTCTGTTGCTACAATGAGGCAGGTGGTAGGCGTGCCCAGGCCAAACAGTGGGCCTGGGCACAGGGTTGGTGGCCCAAAAAAGAGTGCTCAATTTTTACTGTGCATGCTTAAAAATTCAGAGAATAATGTTGAACTTACAGGTTTAGATGTAGATTGGTCATTGAGCACATCCAGGTTAACAGAGCCCCCAAGACGCAGCATAGAACTTACCAGGTTTATGGTCAGATTAACCCATACGTGAGCTCTCTCCGCCACATAGAGATGATCCTTTCTGAAAAAGAGCAGATTGTTCCTAAACCAGAAGAGGAGGTTGCACAGAAAGATCCCCCCAAAAGAAACTGAAGAAACAAAAACTTACGGCTCGGGAGCAAATTCGGCATAAAGTAAATGCAAATAAAAGTAAAAACAGGAAAAAAAAATGCAAGGGAGAGCCAGTATTAGTGCCTAGCTTTTAT